GGAAAAAAATGAACTAAAATGATTTTAGCATATGGCTGCAATATAACAAAGAGTGAAAAATTTAAGGGGGCCTGAATTCTTTCCGTACCCACTGTACATGATGATCTTTTTATCATTGTCACCAAGTTAGACACCAATGGAGAAAAAGTACTATAGATTTTGACTGAGGGTTATTATGTCCCTCTGGGTGTCCCCACTCACCGTGACCCTCTTCCACTGTACGCTCCTGCCCAGGCTCAGCCTGCCCAAAGAGAGGAGACAGAGGAGTCGACGTGTCCCTGACCTGTCCCTCTCCTGCTGTGTCCGCCACTGTCCAGTTCTCCTCCCCGTCATCCTCTTCACCTGTGTCTATCAATCTATTTGCTGTCTCCTCAGGCTTGCTCTCTGTTTGCCTGTCCTGCACCCAACAAATCTTCTCTGCTAGCTTGTCCTTTAGGAAGTCTTGGACGGCCAACTCCTCATCCCAGTCCAAGTCATCTCCAGGCTTTAAAAAAAAAATTCCAACAAAATGAACACATAGGTTAAATAAAGGAAAAAAACTGACAAAGTTAAAATCCCACAATCCCACTGTGGCAAAATCCAGTATGTACAATAGTACTGTAGGCTTGTGCAGTGACAATTACCATGGGTGTTTGTAAAGAAAAATGAATACTGTGCAGAAATAACCACCACATTTTGTCCTCATATAATAAGGCAAAAACAAAATAGAATAGATTCTGTAAAATAAAATTTTGGAAACACTAAATGCTAATAAAACCTTTTTTGGATTAAATGGCATCTGTTTGTTCATTACTAAAAGAAATTTAGTACAATAATAATTTTCCCTATTTCAGATCTATACTGACTAAATCATTTTAAAGTGAGAATGTTGTTACTGGTTACTGTGTGCAAATCTACCTCTTTCAGAACCAAGCTCATTATATTTTGCAGTAAAATTAGTGTTGCTGTAATGAAAATGTTCAAGCATGTGTCAGTACATTTTATGCCAAGAATAGTGTGTAGGTTGCATCTAATTCTGTGGGGGGTGAGGGTGCACATGTCCTCCAGTTCATACCCAGCTCTCTTCTATCAGCTACTCCATCTGGCTGAATACAGAATGAGCTGTGTCACTGCTTTTACAGCAAACCATCCAATATTCTTCTATTGTGGTCACTGGATGTTAATAAACACAAATACATTTCCTAACTCTATTTGACTTTCATGCCAGTGAACATTTAATATATTGTAGGTGACCCCTGTTGAGGTGACACCCCAGAAGGTCTACATTTCACCGAGTATTCTAAAACCAATATATATAGACAACAGATTCACATTAAAAACTGCATGTGAGAATGATGGAAGCAAGCAGTAGCTGCTGTTTAATAATTATGGGTTTACTGATTTAAGCCAGCCTTCCTCTGACCTCTTCCTCTGGCGCAGGTGTCTGGCATGAAGCCTCTCTGCTGTGCTGAGGTGTCTTTAGCTGGTCCAGCTCCTCACACAACTGCCGATTCTGGTTCTCCTGTTCCTGCACCCTACAACGATACAAAATCCTGTTAATTAAAAAGGCTAATTTTTTTCAGGAAAGCGTGAATCAAACGTGCAACTGTTAAAGCATTCTTAAGTGCCCACAGAGTTTAAAAACAAAACACATGCTCAGATATTCAACAAGGTTGTATAGTGAACATACTGTACCCAATCCATAGGCCCATGTAGTGTCCCATTCTGTTGCCCAGGGTGACCAGCGCCAGTTCTCTGAGTGGCCCAGTAACAGTTCCTTCACTTCAGTTTCTAGTCTTACTCAGAACAGCCTGTATTATCTCACGACACTCCAGAGCAGGAGGCAGAACTATACCTACAATGAAGCCTGTGCAGTATTTTTTTCCGCAAACAATCTTAAAGTGCTTGAGTTCACCCTTGCAACTGAGCACCAGCAAATCCCACCTGGACAGCTGGCGCAGTACTCCCTTCTCTAGTCCGGTACTGTACCACACTAGCTCTCTTATATATCTGAAGGATAGCCGTCTCCATGAAACCACATACACAGATATACACACAGCACAAAGAAAACCCATCCACACACAGTCAGACTGAAGTCCAGAAATGGCCCAAACATAGTGAGGCAGACCCTTGGAGGTCATAGTGACTGACAGGTCTCTCCCACATTCAGTAGAATCAACTGGCCAATTGAGCTAGAGCACTAGAGAACAGGAATACCCAACTCAGAGACACTTGCAAAAGTCTGACAATTAAGTTGCCTGTGGTGTTATTTATGTAGGTTAAGTTTAATAAATATGGTGTTTGCTGATATGCAAAAATAACTTCATTGGTTGCATAAAATACTCTTTTAGCTGATTCAGAATAATGTACTAATTAAGCTCTGCAGGCACGCTAACAAGCTTACATCTATAGGCTTGTGTGGAGTTGAACGTCTAACCAGCTAACCTTTATAGCTCACTATGCAGACTTAATTTTTTTTCAGTTTGTAACAACACTTCTATATTTAATGAGCTTCCAACTCATTTAATGCATTCTTCTGTGCCATCAGTATTGCCTGATCAGTGAGTTCTTTAGCTCTGCCTACAATGTTAAATTCAACCAATGAGATCACTGCTATCAGCCACTGTGCCTCAAAGACATCATTTTCTACCTTACAGGCAAGCTGTCTTTAGTCAGCACAAGATTTGTTGCAAATCTACTCTCTCCCATCTACCTCTGGCATTTCACTTAAATTTTTCTTTGATCCCATAGTAAATTCTCAAACATGACTCACTTGATAATTCAGCAGCTCACACATCTGACTGCCCATTTCTTTTCATATACACAGCCACACATGCACAGCCAGGGCAAAGAACAAAAGATCTACTCACTTGACTGAAAGGTGAAGGATCTCTGTGCGGGACCGTCTCATGTTGCTGGCTATTTTGATCAATTCCTTCTCCAGAGAATCAGTGTACTGGGCCAGCTGGTCCAGGATGAGGGCCCACTCTGCCCTTCTTGTCTCCAGCTTGTCCTGCACCGTCTGTGGGAATATAAGCCCAAGGGGTCAGCCTCTCGCTTGGGTGAAAAGCTGCAGGCTGTCACACAGCCTAAATAACTGGGTGTCTTTTACACCTCCAAAAAATTCTACAGAAAATCTTGCCATGTTAAGCCAGCACACTGAAGGACCAACAAACGACTGCTCTACTAATGATTTCTGTATCAGAGGGGAGTGTACTGTGTTGACAGAACAACACACTGACTAAACAGCACTGCTTGGATGGGGCCCAGTGGAGAGTTATATAAGAGAAATTTCTAGAGAGATAGTGGGTGGGAAGGAGAAAAAGTGCATATAGGCAGTGATAGGTTAGTGAAACAGGTGGAGGAAGAGAAAGAAATCACATTATATAATTTGATGATTCATACCAAAAAAGTAAAAAAAAAACAAAAAAAAAAAAAAACCAGTTCTTTTCAGCCTTAAATCGACCTGTATGGGAAAAAAGGGACTGCCAAAAGGCAACTTTTAAAATCTTACAATTAGTGTTGTAGTTGGGCTGACACTGAAGATGACATTTAAAGTGTATGAATGCATTTCAGTGTGTCTAACCTGAAGACTGGTGTCCATGTTGCCCCCTGGCTGTGCATGGTAGTCTTTAACTGTAGACAATACAAAGGCAGTTTCTTCGCCGAAATCACTTTTCTAACAGACATAAAGATGACATGTACTGTGTAAGACAATTACAATTACTCTAAAAATGAAAATCAAGTTTTGTAAAATACACACAATTGACAGGCAAGACATTTACTGTACATGTATTGCATTCATAAACTTCATGATACTATTCCAAATGGTAATCAGTAGTACCAGTAATCTAAACCTGGCCAAGTAATTGAAACTTGAAGTTGATGCAAGTCTTTATGAACCTCTGCAGTTACTCCAACACAACAGTATATGTTTCATTAGGCTGCAGATATAATCATTTATTTGCAACATGTACATGGGACACCGTCATCACTGTTCACATACAGTACTTGCTTGTGTACTTTGTGTTTATCTGGAGGATTAAAAAGTAAATCCACTAGGGGAAAGATTAGGGCCTAATCATCTCTGGCAGAAAATTAAATATCTTTCTTTCTAGTTCTGCTTTTGCCCAACAAAAACAGAAACCATGACCACACTTAGGAAGTTAAAATATGCAAGAAAGCAATGATGTACATGCAAACATGTAGTTAAAAGCAATTATATCTGTGGATTTAATAAATTAACAAGTTAATTAATATAAGTCCAAGTTAATTTCCAGTGTGAGACAAAATTTGGTTGTTATTTCTCAACAGTAACCATGTTGTGGTTCAAACTTATGTTGTCTTAACATGCACATGCTGTGGATGAAGCTATAGCAAAGAAGACGGCACATTTAACTGTCTTGCAGATCCAACAGACAATTCAAGCTGAACCTTTCAAAATGTTAGCCTTAGTAATGAAAAGCTTTTTTAAAGATGCTACAGTTAATACCATGCTGGTTTTGTTTTGACTGGAACAGAATGACATTCATGTCTGCAAGACTTATTCACAACTCAAGCATAATATTAAAAACTTTATACAAGAAAGCAATGAGATTGTATTACAGATAATAATTACTGGTCACCAGTCTAAAGTCTGAGAGCAAGTGATGGGTGCACGCATGCTCAATTACACTTAGTTACCAGTTTGTTTAGGAGGCATCTGAACTCCAGAGCCATGCGTTCAGGGCTGGGACCCTGCAGCATCAGCAACACCTCCCTGTCCAGTGTCTCATCCAGCAGAGTGGCAAAGCTCATAGTAGTGGACAAACGGTCAACTCCAGGGGAAGCCTACAGGAGATATTAATATACACACACACACACACACACA